AGCTTGTGAATTTATTGTTATTCAGTAAATTCTGACATTGTTGTAAGTCACAAACATGTCTGATCTATGTTAATGGTGCAACTGACACTGGGGGAAAGCATCTAGGCTCCTTCGGGGAAGAAGAGAGCTTTCCTAGGGCCAGGGATATAGCTCAGTGGAGCTTGCACTGGCAAGTGCAAGGTCCTGAGTTTGATTTCCGACACTGAAAAAAAAAAAATCAAACCATGGCTGAAGAGGGGTTTTCCTCAACAAAAGAAGTGGAGGTTCTTCACCTAGAACCCAGACATCATTTTAGGAAGTGAGTTTTCATAAAATTCAAATAAGCAACTAAAAACAAAAACAAAATGTCCATTTTTAAATGCCCAAAAGGAAAAACATTAATGAAACATGAGGTGATACGTATCTGCATGTATGGATCAGGTGTGTTTTCAGAAGTCCTTCTGAAAAATCAGCACTTTCACTCAAGGACCCAAGTTCGATCCCCGGGACCAAAAAAAACAGTTCAGCACTTTCAAAAAAAAAAAAAAAAAGCCAACCAACCAACCAAACAAACAAAAAACAGATATTACATGCACTTGTTACAAATCTGAGAGTCCACAAATAGCGCTGTGTAGATATGTGTCTGACCCCTCTATCCCAGAAGTAGCTCTCAACACAAGTTTTCTTATGTACACTTCCAGAAATATTCTATGCATATGCAAGCACTGGTAACCCACCAAAATATTATTCTACTGAACTTTTTGCTTTGTTTTTTTTGAGACAGGGTCTTGTATGTAGTGTAAGAGCCTAACTGAACCAGAGCGACTCCATGTTGACCAGCAAACAACCTAGAGACTGTCGCTCCTCCCCATCCCTTATAGGATAACTAATGATTAATTGTGAATTGTTAGGTAACTGCTTTGAAGTAGCTGAGAAACTAAATGGAAACTGTAGTGAACACAGAGACCCAACACAAATCACGCCACTCCTTACTTGCCTGTAGTTGAATGTTCTGAACTTTATAATCTAAGTTGTAAATGGAATAATGGATAATCGATCTGCTGATCATTAGTAAGTGACGGTCAAGTATATGCTTGATGACCACTAGCTCAGATCCACTGATTCTTTGCCTTTGTCCTCTTCCTGTAAATTTTAAGTGTAACTCCCCCCTCAGCCCTATATAAAATGGCCTCTGTTTCTGAGCTAGCCGCCTCTCTGAGCTACTTGGCTTCGGCAGTGCTGTCTGGCCAGACTAATAAAGGTCTATTTGCCAACTTGCCTGGTGTGTTCCTTCCTGGGTGACTCTCGCTGTCCGACAAGCTCCTGGAGCCTCGCTGAGCTTCTGAGCCCAGCATCGTGGAAGCCTCTTGGCTGTTCACGCTCCAGGAGTAAAAGTGAGACTTAAGTCTTACAGTAGTCCAGGCTGGTCTTGAACTCAATAGAGTCCAGGTTGGCAAACTCATGGTGATCCTCCTGCCTCAGCCTCCCGAGTGATGGCATTATAGGTGTATGCCACCATGCCGTGCTATGCATATTGGATTTTTTATTTAAAATCTTTATCTTAAAGTTGTTTTATAACACGATGTTTGGGGCTGAATGGTAATTATTCTTTTTTTTTTAAGCTGTAAATGATTCCAATGTATGGATATAATTAGTCGTCTGATAGGTATTTATTTATATTGTTTCCAAAATTTTCTTCAAACAGTAGATACATACACGATCTGTATTAATGACTTTGCAAAACAACAACAAAAACAAAATAAATAAAACTAACTGTAGAATCAATGGACAGTGTAAACTGTCCAAATGTCCTACATGGATTTAGGATAATGGGGTTTTTTATATTCTACCCTGTAAAACAACTATCTTACAAAACTTAAGAGGATATAAAAGAGAAAGTTAAAAATTTTGGCCTAAAACCAAAAACTGGTAAAAAGGGAATAAATCTGGAAAAAAAAAACCTAATCAAAATTGAAAATGTAAAAGTACAAAATAAGATTCAATGCACATATATTTCAAAGAGCTAGAAGAAAGATTTTTTAAATATTCACATAAAAAAGTCAAACGTTTGAGGAGATATATTTATCCTGATTTAAACATTACACGTGTGTACATATATTGAAACATCTCATGTAGACTCTGAATATACAATTTTATCCATTAAAGTTAATTAAATTAAAAAACATTAAAGGGATACATTTAATAGCAGATTAGACACTGCTGAACTAGAGAATTGAGGGACTAGAAGCTACAGAAGAAAAAAAAGGGGCTGGAGGCAGTTTGGTGGCACAATATATGCTTACCATGCATAAGGTTTGACACTCAGAACCACAAAAACAAAAACCAGAAGACAGAGGATAAAATAAAAAGATTTAACTTAAGTATGAGTTATAAAGTCCTAGAAAAAGAGAAAAAATGGGGGGAAGCAATGTTTGCACAGATAAGGGCCGAAAAATTCCACAAACAATGAAACCATTAACGAGTAGGCAGGCACTTTTAAGGCCAACCTCCTTGTGATAGCCACTTTCCGCTTCAGGGGAACAAAATACTAGATACTGCAATTTAAAGGAGAAAAGCCAACTTATTTGGCTCATGGTATTAGTCCTGTGGGTTCAAGGCAGGAAGGCTCAGTCGAAGGGTCTGGCAGAGGAGAGCAGCTTGTCATGGGAGCCAGGAAGCAGAGAGCAAAGGGAGGAGCCCAGAATGGGGATAAACTCTTCCAGGTAGTGCCTGGAGGCCCTCTCTTCCTGCCAAGCCCACCTCCTAACAGCAAGTCAAAGATAATGTCCGTGAAATCCAGTTGCCTTCCAAACACAGAAGGTTTGGGGAGCCATTTCAGATCGAAGTCATAACGCTATACTTATGGAAGTGGAAAATCTGCTGCCCCTTTGAATGATGATAAGCTTTCAAAGGTATTTCTTGAAACAAGATTTAAAGAAAAACAAGTCCTGGGGCTGGGGATTTAGTTCAGCCTGTCTCAGGGAAAGCGCAAGGCCCTGAGTTTAATCCCCCACCCCGACACCCAAAAAACAAATCAAACAAGTTCTTCCCAGCCTTAGGCAGTCCGGCCCCGCCCCATCCCCTTCCCTGTAGCTATAACTCCTGTCTGATACGGACAAAATTAACAGTTATGTCCTGTAAACAAAATTTATGAAGTTATATAAAGACTTAAAGTCTCCCTTCCACTCCACGGAGCGTGAACAGCTGAAAAGGCCTCCACAATGCTGGGCCCTAACACCCAGCGAGGCTCCGGGAGCTCCATGGAGAAACGAGAAACCCAGGAGTGAACACACCAGGCTAGATGGTAAATAGACGGCACTCCCGGAGCCAGGTAGCTCAGAGAGGAAACTACTCAGGGGCTGAAGTCCTTTTTATAGGGTTTTTCTAAACAAAAAGTCAGGGCATTCACAGAACTACCAGAGGACAAGATTCCAAACACATTGCTTATCTCAAGCAGGAAATATTCTATGGTCACCTTTTGTCATACCATTTGCCCCTGGGCAGGCTGTTAGCCAAATTAGCAATTAACATATGAAGCACAGTCTGGCCTATTAGCACAGAGTCACTTTAGCTCATTTAAATCCTACAATCCCCACTGATCTTAGGTAGAATCAAGTCCTTGATTCACCGTTTTACTTAAATTTTTAGCTAAGGGGTCATAGCAATTTGTAAAGGCATCTCTTAGACAGCAAAGTTGGGGATTAGGATTCTCAGAGCACATACAGTTTTTATATCTTTATCATCTGTAGGCTCATAAACTCTTCATTTAGAAGTGTAATAACTCATAACAGTTTGACACAATATAAGAGTCTATATCTAGATTGTAGTTCTCATTCTTCAGCCGTGTAGACTCACCAGCTTCCGGTGTGGTGAGAGCAGGGCTTTGAGTGTGTTGTCTCTTGGCCTCCTAGAGTCGGAATCCCTGGAATTCTGTTTTACTCTAGAGTGGTGGTAGCTGAGTTTCAGCTACCTTGATAGCTGTGAGAGTAACCATAAGTGACTCATATGGCCCTTTCTATATAGGTCAGAAAGGGGTCCTTTTCTAAATTTTAACATCACAGGGAGGTCTTTTTTATATTTAATTTACCCTTGAATATTTTTTAAAAATACTTGCCCAATTTTAACCCCTGTGATTTTATACTGGATAAGCCCAGTAGAGATAATTTTATAAAGTCTCTACAACCTCTGTTATAAATGCTGGCCCACTGTCACTGCCTATGGAGAGAGGCAGACCAAACCTTGGAATTTCTTTAAAAAATAAAATCTTGTATACCTCCGAAGCCCTCAGGCCATCTAGAAAAAGTATAAACCCATACTACCACATATTTATAACCTTTATAGGGGGTGGGTATAATCATCTAGAGTTTCTGTTTAGTTGCCCTTCTGGCTTATCTACCTTAGCATTGCTGTAAGACTTGAATATGCTAAAGTGACTCCATGCTAATAGGCCAGACTGTGCTTCTTCATATGCTAATTGCTACCTTGGTTAACAGCCCACCCAGGGGCAAATGGTTTGACAAAAGGTGACCCTAGAACATTTCCTGCATAAGATAAGCAATGTGTTTGCAGTCTTGTTCTGTGAATTCCCTGACTCTTTGTTTAGAAAAACCTTATAAAAAGTACCTCAGCCCCTGAGCAGTTGCCTCTCTGAGCCACCTGGCTCCGGGAGTGCCGTCTGGCCAGACTAATAAAGGTCTCTTTACCATCTAGCCTGGTGTGTTCCTTCCTGGGTTTCTCGGTTCTCTGTCGTGTTCCCGGAGCCTCGCTGGGTGTTAGGGCCCAGTATTGTGGAGGCCTTTCGGCTGTTCACACTCCGTGGAGTGGAAGTGAGACTTTAGGTCTTACAATTGCCATATCCTATGGCATCTTTTTTTTTTTTTGAATTATTATAGCTATTTTGTCAGATTTCCACATTGCCTCAAATAACTATATTATATCCTGTTTAATTTTAATAAGTTTGCCCTCTGCTGTGAGAAACCCACATTTTTATAGACTGTGCCATAGATATATCGAGTGGCAACCAGGAATCTGTATAAACATTTACCCTCTTTCCTTTTGCCCATCGGAGAGCCTATATGAGTACCCACAGTTTTTGCTCATTGAGCTGACCATCCAGTGGGGAGGGGTCCTGCTTGAACCGCTTCATCTTGAGTCATCTCTGCATAGCCAAGCATAGCGTACCCCATTTTCTATGAAGCTGCTCAGGCAGGGGGTCTTTCTGCAGATCTAGATGACTGGAGAACAATTTGTCAGTGACCCTGAGGCAGTCATGGTCAGGGAGACAGGTTCCAAGGGCAAAAAGTAGCAGGGTTTAAGGTTTTAACTGGAGCAAAATATAAGGGGGGACTTTCACAGATGAGGCCCTATTATGTGACTCTATTATTTGAGGGCCATCAATGTCCTGTTATTCAATAGTTCTAAAAGGCATGGGAAAACTGAATCATTTACTTTTTCCTAATGTTATCTGGTCAGCTTCCTCAATTAGCATTACTGCAGCTGCCAGGGCTTTATAAACAAAGAACTATCTCTTCACAGCTGGATCTAAACTCTAAGATAAATACATAACTGGCTAATTCTATGGGCCTATTCCTTCAAGGAGCACCCCTAAAGCAGTATGATTTCTTTTAGTCAGGTACAAACTAAAAGGCTGGGTCACATTTAGGATCCCTGATACAGGGGGGCAGTGGAAAGAGTTAGTTTTAGCTGTTTAAATGCTGACTCTTGTTCTTTATTCTATAATAATCACTGTCTTTCTGGGCCCTTTAAAGATTTATACATATAGAGAATCTAGATCCATAAAAACCTTTTATCTCAAAAATTTTTTATCTGTTTTAAGTCCTTTTATCTCTAAGCAGCATAAACTTTATATCCTGCCTCTTGAAGCAGCATTAATACTCTCTCAATATCCTGTTTTTTATTTAGTATATCCAAAAATTAACAATAATCATAATTTTATATATGAAACTTCATAACCTTTAATCTAATTAGGTATCAAAAGCATTTTATAGAACCTCTTAATAACTTTTTCTACAGAAATCCTATTTTGAAAATGAGCACTATAAACATATCACAATAACATATTTAGAATTTAACCCTTTGATGGTAACTAATGTAAACATTCTATAACAACATATTTTGCCATGTTTACAGGGGGTGTATCTTCTCAGAAGGCCATTAGTGAATAAAGACCAGAATAAATTTTTCTAAGTAGATGTCTTTTTTACTATTAACAGGAGTTTATCTAGATCTGAGTTTATACTTAATTATCTTGACAAAATTTTAATTTATAAAACCAGGTTATAGGAATTAACAAATTATTAGTATCCTTGCTGTCATTTCAAATATAATTGGACAAATACTTTTCAAACAATTGTGCAGACACAAACTTGTAAGACAATTTGTGAAACTATAATACGCTCAAATGTATTTGACCAATTGAATTATATAAGGCAGGTGGCAGCACCATTGAGCTAAATAAATCTCCAGCCCTAGAACCTCTTTTAGTTAACAGTATTCAAAACTTTTGCAGATCTATTAACAGATCTCATAGAATTAGAATCAAAAGGAATGAAAGCTCTGTTACTATAAAAGTAAACCTTCTGTAGCAAACTTGAAACCAACAAGCAAACATACATAGATCATTTTTACATATCTTTTTTATTTAGGCCTTCTAGTCTTGTATATCTTCTTTTATATCTTTCTAATAAGACAAACATACCAAATCCTTTTATATCAAAAGTATATCTCTTTTACCCATAGCTTTGCTAACATCTTCTGTCTCATTTATTATTAACCTTTTATAACAAACTTCAGCTGTTAAAATCTTAAAGTGTTCTTTTTTGTTTTCAGATTGTTATATCTTAAAATTTGATTGGCTACCCATAGAACAGTATTAACCTTGCATTTTTAATCAAGAAAGCATAAAAGAGCAAGTTAATCCTATAATCGAAATTCAAGATTTGCAATTTACAAGGGTTTTAAGCACACCAATTAAACTTAATTCAAGTTGAAAGAAAGATAACATTTATCAAATAGTTAAAATCTCTAACTTGATTTTTTTCTTGTAAAAATCTCTTGATGTCTGGTAAGACACAATTGCAGTTTTTTTCTGGCTTGCAGTGTTTGTTTTTTTTTTCCTTATATTTTTGTCTTTCAGAATTTTCCTACCTGATTTTAATCCATTAGGGATTTTTTCATTTTATTTTTTTTTAATCTGAGTGCAAGCCCTGTTTCATCTTTTTTCTGAGTCCCATCATGCTTTCCCATTTGCACCCTTCAGTGCAGTAAAGCTAAACAATTTTGTTTTGCCCCCACCTCCTCCATACCATCTATCTTAGCAACTCAAGTGGAGGGGAGATAGCTCGACCTCCTCCAAAGGGGAAACGGTGGGATTTGCCTGTAAGGATGTCACATTTTCTGAGAGGCAAGTTTACCACAGGAAACCAGCAGATTTAGCAAGCAGGTGTTTTACAAACAAAACTAAAGAGTTCTCACTAGCAGCTGATTACTGCAGAGCAGAAGCTTGAGCAGCTCCTAGAGCACAAGAGGCTCCATGTTATCAAAGTCTCAGGTAAGTAAAACAAAGGCAGATTAACTTTTTTTTGTCTAGAGTTTTTTTCTGGGGGCCAAGTCTGGCTTAGCTGAGACCATGATAACTCACAAAATTTTTAAGCATCTTTGGTTGCAGTTTTATCTTATAGTTGCCCACAAAATCTGTACCAAAATTTTGAATTATGCACTTAAGAACAGTTGGTTTAGTATTAGCATTTCCCATAACCATTAGATATTCCCTCCCTCCAGTGATGCAAGACAAAGGGTGGGGTGCAGTTCCAGAAAACGGCCTTGTTTATTCACCTGGAGGGCTCTTTAAGCACAAGCCCCCCTCCCTTTCTTTTGATGTAGAGGAGACTACCCGAGCTTGTTCCACTCACTCTCCTAACCAAGTCTCTTTCACACACACAGTCACCTAAGAAGTTAATACATTCCCTCCCTGGGTCTCCTTCCAAAGACAAACTAGGGAGAGCAACCCAGGGGATCTCACCATTCAGACAGATGATTTCATTCATTTTCCTTCTTTCTGTTCCACTTTCGCGATCCTCCGGTGGGACTTGGGTTGACACAGGGAGCGAAGCTTTCCATGAGAGAATTTAACCCCATAATCATCCTCCTGCTCAGGGGAAAAAGCCAATTTTAAAATTAGTGAGAAAGCAATCCAGTGGGGTGTTCTTGGAGCCAGATCCTCCCATCCCAAAACAGCTTTGATTCTACTACCCTGAGTCCTTGCGTCAGGGCCGTGGTCAGGGGAGGCTTCCCGGCTGTCAGCCACCTTGATCCTGACAGACAATTGCAACAGGTTCAAAGCTTACCTCTGGAGGCTTTCTAAGATCTATGTCTGAGAATCTCCTGCTAGATCCCACAATGGAGAAACTCGGCTGGATTTACAGTTCTCACTTGGGCATCTCGCTGGGGCCTCCAATATGTATGACTTAAAGTCTCACCTTCCACTCCACGGAGAGTGAACAGCCGAAAAGGCCTCCACGATGCTGGGCCCTAACACCCAGCAAGGCTCCAGGAGCTCGAAGGAGAAACGAGAAACCCAGGAGGGGAGAAACTAGAAACCTAGGAGGGAACACACCAGGCTAGATGGTAGGTAAATAGACCTATTTACTAGTCTGGCCAGACGGCACTCCCTGAGCCAGGTAGCTCAGAGAGGAAACTGCTCAGGGGCTGAAGTCCTTTTTATAGGGTTTTTCTAAACAAAAAGTCAGGGCATTCACAGAACTACCAGAGGACAACATTCCAAACACATTGCTTATCTCAAGCAGGAAATATTCTATGGTCACCTTTTGTCATACCATTTGCCCCTGGAGGGCTGTTAGCCAAATTAGCAATTAGCATATGAAGAAGCACAGTCTGGCCTATTAGCATAGAGTCACTTTAGCTCATTTAAATCTTACAGAACCACAATGAAAATACAAATAAAACTACCACCAAAAAAAAAATCTTTACTTCAATTATCACACCTAAGGCAGTTTTCACACGTGAGAACATCATGTTTCATACAGTTACACTGATAGCACATGTTTTTGTTTTCTTGTCTTCTCTGGTAGAACACACTTGACATAAGTTTCATATAATTATAATAATTACTATTACTACTTTTCTGGTGTACCAAATATATTCATGTTTTCTAACTACACAGGTTTTCCAACATTGTATAATGACAATAACTTTTTTTTTTTTAGACAGGGTCTTACTACATAATTGAGATTGACCTGGAACTCACTATGTAGCCCAGGCTGGTCTCGAACTCACAGTCATCCTCCTGCCTCAGCCTCCGGAGTGCTGGGATTACCACGCCCAGCAACAATAACTTTTTGATTCAGGTATTCGGCCTTCTCTTCTGTTCCTCCTTCTCCTGATTACAGGTACTTTTATGGCCCATACATTTTCCTTAGATGACATTCAATCAAAGGATAATAATTTAAATAAGAGTTTCCTGGTTTTTAATGTGTTTTTAGAGGGGTATAAATACATTTAACAATGGCTATTTTATACTAAGATACATATCTAAGTTTGTTGGAAGGAAAATGTCATCATGATTGCTCTGCTAGAATTATGATGATGATCATGATGATGATGATGATGATGATGATGATGATGATGATGATGTGTGGCTCCTGATTCAAAGTTTTTTCTGTTAATAGTCTACTATTAACTACTGGGTGTGGTGGCGCACGCCTGTAATCCCAGCACTCGGGAGGCTGAGGCAGGAGGATCGCTGTGAGTTCGAGACCAGCCTGGGCTACATAGTGAGTTCCAGGTCAGCCACAACTACATAGTGAGACCCTGTCTCAAAAAACAAAACAAAAGTCTACCGGAAATCAACTACTAGAACAACCATGATTGATAAAAATAACAGTCCTCTAACTATATTTTGGATTCCAGGGTGCTTGCTATCCAGATAAATTTATGATAGTTAAGCTCACTGCTCCTAAGGTACTACTGATGTCACTGATCTTCTTTTCTGGGGTTTCAACCACCAAAGTGAAGAGACCAACACTAGAAGCTAACTGGGCTAAGAAGATCACCAATATTCTGGCCCTGGCCCTCTAAGGTCATCAAAGATCCAAGCTATGAAGGAACCTTTTCTACGGCACCTTACATCTTTGGTAAGTCACCCAACCTCCTGAGCAGGGAGATTGCTGGACACCAGAGGACAAATGTACCGTGTGCCAAAAGAGGGTCACCAAGAGAAAAAAAATCTCCCATGCTTTCACTGAAAGCAACATGGTCAAGCAAGGCTGGTGACCCATCCTAACAGCTGACACTGACAGGAGCTAAGAGGCTTTATGTATGGTTCCAAAATGATGCCTAAAGAGACTTAACTGACCTTGGCTGATAGCAAGAGGTTCATATTGATGAACACAGGTCTCACTTTAACTTGGTCTTAAAAGCAGAAAAGAATAACCAAATGAGGCAGTCAACAAACAGGCACTAATGATAGACTTTTGAGGCCCACTGCTCCACCTCCTTATAAAGGGATAGATCTCCAAGTGGTAAACCAGATAACCCAGTCTCAAAAAAGGCTTCAACAGGGGCTGAGGATGTAGCTCAGTGGTTCCACCGCCTGTCTCACACACACAAGGACCCGAGTTTGATCCCCAGTACAAGAAAAAAAAGGCTATAACACCTTTTTAACGCCACCCTCCACTACCTCCCTGTCAATATCTCAGACTGTTGGATGTGTATGTCCGTTTACCCCTGCTTGTTCACTCCAATTCCCATCCCCTAGATTTTAACCTGTCTGTCTCAAATACTGGCAATTTATCTACAGTTCTAGGACCCTTCACTACGGGTCTCCCATTCCCTACACAAAGCACTAACCTGATATGCATGGGGCAAAATGACAACATCACTTGCCTTGCTTGCTCCCTCTATCTCAGAAGAGCGTCTGATCTGCCTGTCCAAGGGCCTGCACTTCATCTGCAATCAAGATGCATTCCGAATGATGCCTCAATCAGTCCGACGTTTTCTGTTACATATCCTTCCTTGGCCCTCCCGTGACCATTTATACAGAAGCCCAGATGTCTAAACAAGTTCTCCCACAGAACACAATCAGAAAAAGGGCAGCTCCCCTTCTAGTCCCCTTCTTAATGGGAGCGGGGGTCGTCACTGGGATGGCAAGGGGGATAGTGGGCATTTCTACATCCACACATTTTAATCAGGCCTTCTCCATAGAGATTTCAGAAGACATGGATAAAATAAGCCAGTCCTTAAATACAGTACAATTTCAAATAAATTCTCTAGCAGCAGTCGTGTTACAAAATAGAAGGGCCCTTGACATGCTAACAGCGGCCCAAAGGGGAACGTGCCAGGTGCTAGATGAAGAATGCTGTTATTTTATCAACCGGTCAGGGATGGTTAAAGCAAAGGTTAAAGACGAGTGAAAAAGATGATGGAATTCTTGGGGAATAGATCAGGGCTCTTCTTTTTTTTGGTACCGGGGATTGAACTCAGGTCCTTGAGCTTGCAAGGCAGGCCACCGAACCGCTGAGCTAAATCCCCAGCTCAACCAGAGCTATTCTTGGCTGCCCCAAATTGTGCCTTGGCTACTTCCCTTGTTGAGCCCACTGGCCTGTATATGCATTTTAATCATGATAGGGCCCTGTATGTTTTGCTGTTTTCAAAATGTCTTGCAGCAACACATGAAGGCATTTACCAACCAGACAGTCACAGAACTCGTCATGGTGGGGTACTGGCCACTGTGGCAGAGGGAAGAAGCCCCCACCTACCACTGCCCCCACCAGATCCAGGTTTAGCCCCAACCTTCGCCCCTTTGTCAGCTTGAAGCATCTCCAGAAGAAGAGACCTTTGCCTAATAACCATAAAACAAAAAGCCTGGAATGTTACATTTCCCTTGCCTTAAGATGGCTGCCATCATGTTAAAATAGCAGCCTCCATGTTAAAATATGGCTTCTCCCAACAAAGGACAGGCTTCTTCTTCCCATCATGCCTCTCCTCCCACCGAAAGAGTGACCTGATACCTGCTACCTCCTAGCAGCTAGTGATGTCATGAGATCTCTTAATTCCACCTCACTCAACACCCTTGCTCAGGCTAAACCCTCCCCACTCATAAAAGAAGCTCCCTGTGCTGCCATGTTGCTCTCTCTCCTTTGTTCAGAGATAACCTGGTAGATCCTCATAATAAAGGTTTGTTATGGTCCTTGCCTGGTCTTGGTTTTTTCTCTTTTTTACCTGACACTTGCTAGTCTTCCTGTTTTCCCAGAAGGCTTTTAAAATGTTTCACCTGTCTGCTGTTTACCAGTCTGTTCCAGAATTCTTTTTTTTATTATACCAGGCATGGAACTCAGGTCCTTGCACTTGCAAGGCAGGCACCGGAACCACTGAGCTAAATCCCGAGCTCATGTTCCAGAATTCTTTTGCGAAGTTCTTTGGGTAGATACATACTGTTCTTCCTCTGTTGTAATTGATCATTTATTAATTCCAGATCCACTCCCCTAAGAAAATTTCTCCATGATATTTTGTGCTTGTTCTTTTCTTTCTTTCTTTTTCTTTTCTTTTCTTCTTCTTTTTTTTTTTTTTTTTTTTTTTGAGACAGGTTCTCACTGTGTAGTTGAGACTGACCTGGAACTCACTATGTAGCCCAGGCTGTTCTCGAACTCACAGCAATCCTCCTGCCTCAGCCTCCTGAATGCTGGGATTATAGGCATGCACCACCACGCCAGGCTCATTATTAGTATATTTCAGAGCATCTTTTAGCATTTCATCTGTTACAAACAATTTCCAGCATTGAATTGCAGGTTAGTATTCCATCCAATAGGTTTTACCCCTGGCAAGAAACCTAATAACATTTTCTGACCTAGTTCCAACATTGGATCTGTCAGGTTTACATGACCATTTGGCCAGTCTATTTATTTCTGTTTATTTATGTATTTTTGCAGTATCGGGAGTATCAAACTCGGGACCTTTCTCTTATGAGGCAGCACAACTGAGCTAAATCCAGGCCCTGCCCAGTCATTTTGATAGCCAAATATTTACTCACGTGACTGTTTTCTTCCTTATCTGAATCAAGGTCGTCAGTGTGTATTTCTCTGTCATAGCGTGCTCACTTCTTATGTAACCCAAGTCATCATCGGTAGCCAGCCTCCTCTCAAAGTTGTAAAAGCAGATTTTCATGCGTCATTGTACTGAACTGGGCCAATTCTACAAGAAGAATCAGAAGAAAACATTGAGTAAAAGAAATTATAAATATACAAAAACGTGCCACGGCATGTACCATGGGTAAAACACACCCATTTACACTTTGACACACATCATACACCTTGCAGTTGGTCACATGCAGCGGTGAACACAGATTCCTTCCTGTATTCCCCCAGGTAGGCTGCTGAGATCACATTTTCATTAGGAAAGCATGGTATATAGGCGTCTGTGGTCCAGTATAAGGAACTGTTAAATATAAAACAAGGGATTTATGAAACTATTTCTTTCTTCTTGTGATGAGTTTTCTATACTATTCTATCCATTCATTCTGTTCATTTTATTGTTGTTTTGTTTTTGTGGTACTGGGACTTGAACCCAGGGCCTGTTGGCTTACATCCCCAGCCCTTCCCTCCCTTTGTAGAGGTAAGGTCTCTCTAAGTCACTGAGTTGCCCAGATTTGGCTTGAACTTGTATTGTCCTGTTTCAGCCTCCCAGAGTAGAGCATTCTCTTCACTTTATTAGGTGAGGATTGAGATTTCTGAAACGGAGCCCAAGCAAACCTCTTTTAAAAAAAGATTTCTGGTCTTGACCATTAAACCTGGCCTCAATTTGCATTTTGAAAGATCCTGTCTTAGCCCACCGGGGGTGGGGAGGTGTACTCAGGGAGGAAGCATTTTAAGACTCATTTAATATTGAAGTTTGTTCTTTTCCCTCCTCAGGCAGTCAGATGACTCAGGCTGCAGAGCTGTTTTGGTGCCCTTGTAGGTCACTCTGGGATCACTCCGGGGAACTACGAGAAAAAGTCAGACCCCGGCCAGGAGTGGTGGCACACTGGGGAGGCTGAGGCAGGAGGATCGCCAGGAGTTCAGGGCCAGCCTGGGCTATGTACTGAGATTCCGTCTCAGAAAAAGAAGAGGAAGAAGCCAGCCGGCACTTTAGCCTCAGTGGCGGGTTCCAGGTGTAAGACTTGAATAGGCTAAAGTGACTCCATGCTAATAGGCCAGACTGTGCTTCTTCATATGCTAATTGCTACCTTGGTTAACAGCCCACCCAGGGCCAAATGGTTTGACAAAAGGTGACCCTAGAACATTTCCTGCATAAGATAAGCAATGTGTTTGCAGTCTTGTTCTGTGAATTCCCTGACTCTTTGTTTAGAAAAACCTTATAAAAAGTACCTTAGCCCCTGAGCAGTTGCCTCTCTGAGCCACCTGGCTCTGGGAGTGCCATCTGGCCAGACTAATAAAGGTCTTTTACCATCTAGGCTGGTGTGTTCCTTCCTGGGTTTCTCGGTCTCCGTCGAGCTCCCGGAGCCTCGCTGGGTGTTAGGGCCCAGCATCGTGGAGGCCTTTCGGCTGTTCACGCTCCGTGGAGTGGAAGTGAGACTTTAGGTCTTACACAGGCCCTTCCTGGGAAGAGAGGGGCGCTCCCGCGACTGCGCTGGGCAACTGGGTGGGGCCTGTGGGTCTTGGAAGGCAACAACTGTGCTCCCACGCGCCGCAGCGCCAGTGCGAAGTTCCCCTCCGAGTCCGGGCGCGCGTTGGGGACTTGTGCAGGAGGCTGCAACGCCAGAGGGCTGAGTCTCCCCGCCAACTTGGCCCTCTTCCAGGCCCAGGGGGTGGCTTCCGCTTGTTGGCCAGGTCCTGCTCTGGAGGAGTGAGGCCCACAGCACAGACTGAGCAGGGAAGGGGCTGGCCTGCCCTTTCTCCGCCCGTCCCCCGAGCCACAGCCCCTTCGATCCCGCCCCTCTGTTTAACTCCGGGGCTGGTTGCCCTGGCGGGGCCAGAGCCAAGGCAGCGATCTCTGCCGCCCTCCCCGCCGACGAGGCAGTCGAGGGACCTGGAGAGGGTCCCGGAGACCGGCGGCTGCGGAGCTGGGAGGAGCTTCCCAGAATCGGGAAGCTGCGATTTTTATTCCAGTTGTTCGGGAAAGGTTATGCCCTGCGCTTGCATGAGCTCCAGGTAACTGAGTGAGGCCATTGGTGACCTGGGGCGTGAAGGTGGGCATCAGGACAGAGAACGCTGGGATGAAAAGTAAGACGCTGGAACTCTACTGGGGACCGACTGAAGCTATGCTCATAAACTGGAAGTTTGTAAGGAGAAAGTGTAAAGTTTAGACAACTTCCACTGAAATGAAGTAAACAAGCTCATAAGTATGGATCAGGAGGGCCTTAGGGCTGTCTTGGGAGGACAGTGGAGGAGGATGTGGAGTCACTACTCGGTTCTGCCGTGACTCCTTCCAGAGGAAATGATTTAGGATGATCACTGAGGCTTATCAGTTTGCAAGGCAGAGTTCCCCTTGCAGGGGGGCGGAGATAATGCTTCTCCGAGCGAGAATGTAAAATTATAGGCCACAAAGAGAGGGAGCTGCTCTGCTCTGCCGCAGTCCCAGATGGGAAGTCAGATCTGAGCCGCTCTGTGCAGACAGTCTGGCTGGGCGTTGAGGATGAGGGAGAAAATGACGCTGAAGGTCTGGAGGGCAGAGTGGCCACATCCTCTGCCACTGTCTCCCGCTGCCCTGTTGGTTCAAGTTTTGAAGAGTTGGGGAAGTGGTTCACGAGGTACTGAGAGATGGTTTGTAATAGGGCCAGGCGAGTTGGGACTATAGAGATGTGTCACACTCTGAATTAAATGGAATCTTTTATTATAAGCTGGCTAATCTAGAGCGGGCGCAGGCCTCTAAAACCTCTGGACAAAGGAAAGGCAATCTGTACGGTCTTTTTAGGGTTTTTTTTATTTGGGGAGGGCTCAGAGCACAAGCAGAACTTTACAGGTGTAGAACTTTGCTAAGTCAGTGGGGACCAGAGGAAGTTTTATTTAGTGTAGTTAAAACTGTATCACGCAGGTGGGGAGTCTTGTTTAGAAGGTAGTAAAGATAACAGAGTTGCAGACTCACACAGGATGCAGTGGTTGGTCTGTTATGCATTAACTGAGGGGATTCCCAAGAGGGAAGGGGCAGGGTCCACAAATGGAATCAGGTACATAGATGGAGCCAGGTTGGCTATCACATTCCCAACTCCTGTAAATCTGATGACTCATCTCCAGCCTCCTGAGTGGATGAGGGATTGTAGTATGCGTTTATATATTAACAGTTTTTTTTTGTTTGTTTTTTTGGTACCGGGAATTGAACTCGGGTCCTTTGCACTTGCAAGGCAGGCTGCCGAACCGCTGAGCTAAATCCCCAGCCCAATATATATTAACACTTTAACAGAGGCTGTATCTAATCAAGAACATAAGGCCCAAGCTGGGCATGGTGGTGCACGCCTGTAAACCGAGCACTCAGGAGGCTGAAGCAGGAGGATCTCTGTGAGTTGGAAACAAGCCTGGGCTACGTAGTGAGTTCCAGGTCAGTCTCAACTACGTAGTGAGACCCTGCCTCAAAAAAAAAAAAAAAAAAAAAAGGTTGGATTCCTGGTACCAAAAACAAAAAGAAAGGAAGTCTCCTCTGTATATACTGGCATGAACTTGTAGTGTAGCAAAAGCATATCTATTGTCAGTGTATATATTTATCTTTTATTTTATTTTCTTATCTTAGGGTCTGGGCTAGAGTGATCAGTTTTGAGTTGAAGTGTCTTTAGGCAAAGGCTGGGCCTAAATAATTTGGTCAGCTGTAGTCACTGCAGCTCTCACTTTCTGTACCTGCTTATCATTGCATTGTTTTTATCTCATGGACAAATAGATGAAAGCGCTTGGACAGCAGGCAAAGCCAGAGCTGGGGCTGATGTCAGGGTTTGTTTTAGATCCCGGAATGCCTTTGTTTTTGTTTTTCATTTTAGGGGTTGGTCTCTTTTTGTGGCAGAGTGGAGGTACAGCGCTCTCTCAGCAAAGCCGGGTATCTAGAGGCAACAATATCTAGCTGGGCCCAGGAATTTTTGTATCGGTTTTTTGGTAATTGGTGTGGGTATTTGGAGAATGGCCTGTTTTGTTTTTGTTGGTTTGTTTGTTTGTTTGTCTGAGACACAGAATGGCCTGCTTTTTTTTTTTTTTTTTGCCTGAGCCCAGATATGACACTTGGGAGGTACAGAGTTGAGCCTTTCTGGCCAAGAGGTGGTGACCCAACTCTTTCAGTAACTGGAAAAGCTCTTATGTGTCCTATAGGTATTTTAAAAGACCAGCAGCAGCTAGCAGCAAATCATTTGTATACTGAAGCAGGGTGAGGCTTAGAGTGGTGGGATCAAAAACTCACCAGTTCGTTTTGGAAGATCTCACTGAACAGAGTGGTATGGGTTTTTTTTTTTTTTTTTTTTGGTACCGGGGATTGAACTCGGGTCCTTGGCGTTTGCAAGGCAGGCCACTGAACTGCTGCTGAGCTAAATCCCCGGCCCTAGAGTGGTATGGTTTTGAATCTCTAAGGCAACCAAGTCTAGTTGAGTTGACAAGAATCACTGGAAGCCGGGTTAGTCTTTTGAAGTCCAAGATGGACTGGCCAGCTGGGGCAAGAGGCAGACTGAAAAAGGCACCTTTTCAACCAAGCGCTATATATAACTGGTGCTCAGGAGAAAGCAAATTTAAGAGAGTATGTGGGTTAGGGACAGTGGGGGGTAGAGTTATCATCTGTGGGTTAACTTTTTTTAAGTCTTGGACTGGCCTGTAATCTGACCTCCCTGTTTTTGTATTGACAGGAACAGAATGTTTCATGGAGACTGACAGGGAGTCAATAGCCCTTCTTGACTTGAGGGGCTATCCCCCGTCTGGCTTTTTGAGAGATGGGATAGTGTTGAACTTGCACAGGTGTGGCCGTCACAAACACTGTGGATTAGTTTTTATTTACACCTTTGGAAACTCAGCTCTGACTAATAAATCCTCGGGTTTGGGGTTTTTTTTTTTTTTTTTTTTTTGAGACTGACGTGGAACTTACTATGTAGCCCAGGCTGGTCTCAACTCAGAGATCCTCCTGCCTCAGCCTCCGGAGAGCTGGGATTACAGGCGTGTGCTAACACGCCTGGCGGGGCTTGGTTTTTGAGGACTTTCTCCCTCTTTTCTTTTGGTACTGGGGATCAAACCTGGGACCTTGACCTTGCAAGGCAGGTGGCAGAACCACTGAGCTAAATCCTCGACAGAAGTTTCCCTTTTTATGAAGAGATGTTTTTTGGGCCAGGGATTTAGCTCAGTGGCTCTGCTGCCAGACTGGCAAACACAAGGACCTGAGTTCGATCCCCAGTACCAAAAAAAAAGAGAGAGAGAGAGATTTTATGGATAGAGCAGTGGATAAGAAAAGAGTGACATCAGAAGGAGATAGTGGGCCTTAGTTTATGAAGGAGGTCTTTTCCCGGCAAGGGGATTGGGCCGTTTGTTATCACCAGAAAAGAGTGACTAACTTGTTTTGGTCTCAAGCTTATTGTCTGTTTGTTTGTGAGTGGGCAGTTTTGGACTGCTCCCACGGTCCCCCCAGATGGCAACAGATTGTGAAGAAATCTTGTCCAGGGGAGGTTTTAACATTATTGACCTCTCAGCGCCATTGTCTACCAGGAAGCGAACCAGTTGGGTCCCCTATTTTAGCATTTATCATGGGCTCCCAGGGGCCAAGAGAGAAGGGGCCCCAGCACCCTCTGCAGTCTGAATCTTTTTTGGTGTGGGGAGGGACAGTATCTCGGCAGAGGGTCTATGGCGGCAGTCTTTTTTAGTGTCCTTTTTTTTTTTTTTTTTTTTTTTTTTTTTTTTTTTTTTTTTTGGTAGTAGACACATTGGCTATTGTCTAATGGCAGGCGTCTTTCTGGTTTTTAGGCATCTGTCTTTTGGGCTTTTTATTTATTTATTTATTTAGTTTGAGACAGGGTCTCACTATGTAGTTGAGACTGACTTGGAACTCACTATGTAGTCCAGGCTGGTCTCCAACTCACAGTGATCCTCCTGCCTCAGCCTCCTGAGTGCTGGGATTATAAGTGTGCAACACCACACCTGGCTGTGTTTTTGTATTTCATTGTCATACTTACTTGTAGTTCTTATTTAAGCCTTTCATGTATCTTTTTGTGACATGTCTATAGGAATGTTTTGAACACTTTTATTAGGATTTTTTTTGGTACCGGGGATCGAACTCTGGCCCTTGCACTTGCGAGGCAGGCTGCAACCACTGAGCCAAATCCCTGGCCCACCCACCTCCCTTTTATCCGCTGCACCCTTGAACATTTTTCCTTGTCTCTTTACATGAACAAGCTGTTAATATTTTCTTTCTTATTACACATGCAAAGCCCTGGGTTGCTCTCTAGCACTGCAATAAATTAGTAAATATTGAAAAAATAAATTCTGCCTCTAGGTCATCGCCATTGCTCCTTAATATAACCATATGCAGTTTAAAACTCACCCAAATCATTTCTGTATTTTGCTTAGAAATTTATTTCACCAGATGCCCCAAATCATCAACCTTAAATTTGGCTTCCCTGGAGCCCTAGGACGTGGTTGCAACTCAGCTATTGTCTTCGCTATTTCATAGTAAGCGTGGCTTATTTTCCAGTTTGCAGTAAGACATTCCCCACTTCCTTTGTCGGCGTGGCCTGTGCTGTCCGCATTTCCGCTGGCATTTTAGCTCTTTGCTGGTATTTTTGTCTTCTGCGCCCTCACCCGAATTCCCCATGGTGCTTCATTTTCAGCAATACAAGCCTTCGTCTGTTCCAACCCCTGCTCATTACCCAGTTACAAAGCCACTTTCGCATTTTCAGGTTTCATAACAGCAACAACACCACTCCTCAGTAATAGGTTTCTATCTTAATATATTTGTGTTGCTACAGTGAAATTATCTGAGACTGGCTGACTGGAAGAGAAAAGAGAGTTGTGATTCTGGTGTCTGAGAAACCTACACTGCATGATGTCAGTGTCTGGCAAGGACCTCCTGGCTGTGTCACAACATGGCAGAGAAGCAGAAGGCACGGGGTATGAGAGAGAGGTCACATGGTTTAGCGACAAAGCAAGAAGCCGGCTTCCTCTTTTATAACACCTGATCTCAAAAAAAGAAACTAATCCATTCC